TCAAAATCTAACGGACAAAGCCATAATAAAATAATCGGAGATTAGTAAGATGTGATGTGATCTGGAATGTGCCACGGCGGGAACACTGGCAAAACAATCCATAAAAATACAGTAAATTAATGACTCGTTCAGTAAATTCTAATGAAACAACTGAGGTACTTTAGTATTAAGTCAATAACATTGTAAACATGCAGAATTCCAGCATTAAAAAGCATTTAACGCAACAAAAGTACTGAAAAAACGTGGGAAAACCAGCTACAAAGGTTCCCACGGTTTTGTGGAGCAAAAAGAGCAAAATTTTCGAAAAATGAGCAAATATTGACTTAATAACTTAAAGTCAATTAAGATAAAACAATTGCTTTATTTGAAAGAATTTACTAAGTACAATTCCTTGTACCTCATTCAACCTGGTGATTTTTTAGTTCAAAGAAGTTAGTAGAAAGTAGAGTAAGAAGCACTAGAATAGAGTTTTAAATGTGAAATACAGTTTATAGTAGAGATTTTATTCTTTAAGCCACTTTAATGGGCAAAATAGTTACAATTCCAAGCTACATTTGAGTGAGTATAGTTTGTTTTGAGGTTCTTATCCTTTCGACAAACATTAAACACAGAGAAAGGACGCCAATATATTCCTCTGAAAGCCTTGTCAACAAGGATGACACTTACCGTGGGAAAGTTTGGAAGTAACTAAGCATCATTAGTGCATAAAAGAGTCCTTCATGTGAAGTATTTTTGTCAAAATTAGAAAGAGAGTAAATTTATCACAAGTGCAGGCTTGTCATTGTGAGCTATACACCAACAGACGTGAATAGACTCATGCGTAAATTAGCGCGATGCCACAACAGTGCATCAGTAACGCCATATCATTTTCAGTTCTACTTGTAAACTTCCGACGGTGCAGTAGAGTCGGCGAAATTGTTTGCTTTCTTTTGTAGCTAAATGAGAAGGGTAACAGAAACAGAACCTCAGGGTTTCATAACAAGAGTGTACTGGCGAGAGAGTGAGGGGGGTGGGTCACTCCCTCTTCCTAAAACTCATGTCACAATTCTTATTTCTCGTTTTTTGATACGAAGAGTAAAATGCGAGAGGGTGATTATATTTTTTGCATGTGGAGGATACAAAGAAAGCTATGCACAATCATCGGGGTGTTTTATTTTATTTTTTTCATTTATTTTTTTATTTTTTAATGGCGAAGTAGCCTCTCTACTTTAGTCTCGGTACACCGCCATGAATTGAAAAAGGAAATAAGAAGAAAACACGAACACCGTGCAAGAAAGTTAGTTGCTACATGCTGACGTTTCGAACGTTCGTCCTTTGTCGGAGTGAAAGAGAAGGTGTTTAGTTTTGGATGTATTTTCCAGATCATTTGAGAAATCTGGAATTTGCCARTGAATGTTCGAGTGGAATTTGCCAGTTGATTTTCGAAATGAATCAGCCAGTGAATGTTCAATGTTGGAGGAATCTGCCAATGAGAGTTCAATAGTAGTGTAGCATTGAATACAACATAGTGAATGGGTAAAAAGAAAAAGTAAAAGAAAAACTATAAAAATTGAAAACAGAATGATAACCACGGATAAAGCAAGGAAACCGCGGCCTGGGAAACAACTAAAGCAGAAAGCATGTCAAACATGGAACCATAAATAGAAAAGGAAGAAAGGAAGCTGGGAAGGAAAGAAAAAGCATCAACTTATGGACAATATAACAATCAGACAATCAATCAGATTACAAGCAAACAATTAATCATTCTTGTAACAGACAGACAGACAGACAGACAGACAGACAGACAGACAGACAGACAAAACAAATGAACAGCGAACAAACAAACAAACAAAAGGAAGCAAACAAACGAGTCATGAAACCTTTAAAAAACGTCAAAACGAAGTCAGTCGGCCAGATAGCCTAATAAATGTTTTACGACTAATAAAGCAAACAACAACAAAAAACAACGAACAAAATAAACAAACAAGCGAGAAGTAACGGCTTAAAGAAGCATAAGGCCCTGGCTAAACGAGGAAACATGTTTACCGCGCGCATGTTTCCTCGATGTTTCCCAGTTTAGCCACATGCTAAACATTGCTGCGTGCAACGAATTTCGCTTCCAAGAAGCAAAACATATGTTTTTGCAGTGCGACAGAATCATTTCATGCTTCCAAGACGCATGGAAACATTGTTTACAGTTTTGTCACTTTAGGAAACATTTAGGCCAAATGTTTCCTCGTTTAGCCAGGGCCTTAAAAAAATACCACAAGTTCTGGAATGTGTGGGCTTATCCTCACTTTTGAAATAGAAAATAAAAGCAGAACTTAAAATAACAAAACAAGCAATTCCGGGATTCGACCCGGTCCAATCTAGAACTGAAGTTTATTATGGCATTTTTTAAGAAGAGTTTAGCGTATAAAAAAAGAGAGTCACCCAAATCTGTCTTAGCTCGCAACAAGACTTAGATAACCTGAAGCATAATCATAAGGCAGACTTGGGAAGCATGGTTAGTGTTACTGGGAATGTGAACGATCCGGCTATCGATAATCTTGAAGCTCAAAAATGTAAGAACACTTAAAAGAAGACAAAGATGATGATGATTAGGAATTAATTTGACCACGGAGAGAGCCGAATGGATATTATCAAAGACAAGGGTGATGATAGACTTGAGGGAGGAAAAACAGACCATTCAAGGATTCCAGAAAAAAAAAAAAATTAACGAAAACCGGTACTCCTTTACGATTTAAATAGTCCATGGGTTTGCTATGCAGTACCTTGAAATTTTATTTCTAACCAATATTTTAAAAACATTTCAAGTGTATATCAACAAACGAGTTGCATTTTAACAAGAAATGTTTAGGGTTTTTCGTTTTTCGACTGAAATTCTGAGAGAGTTTGAAACGAAAAAATCTCGTTCTCCATAGTTTTCAAACCGCGAAGATTATTGTAGAGTTTAAAATAACCAAATCTATTCAAAAGCCCATTTGGGGACTGAATTCCTGAGCGAATAAAATCTCTAAGGATCAAGGAATGTACGGCTTTAAGTCCCGTTTATCCCCAGCATGCGTGCAACTTATCTGGAAGATTCCGTAGACTTCGCTATTTGAAATATTAGATGACATATTATCGACTTCTCTAGCTACGATTGAAGCAGCAATGCAGCTAATTTGACGAACAAGTTTTGTACGTTAACAAGTCTTGATGAATTGATCTCAAATTAACCACTATTTACTTTACTAATTGCCTACTTGGGAGTTTAAGAGTTTCAAAACAAAATGTAACGTTATGAAAACAAATCTTTATCGACGATAAAGCACCCTGCTGCTCGCTCAGCGACCCTGGAGAATACTGCGTTGTGTCAGAATTATCGGATACTAACCATCGCCTGAGGCGATTTTCAACCAGCCCCGTTCACGCGATGAAAAGAAAGAATTGCGAGSCCGACCCGCCCTTTTGAGAGGATTTTCTCAGTGATTAATCTGTCAGTGAGGTGCTGAGTGAAAATCATGCTCTATCAGAACAGGAAGTGTGATTGAGGTAAAAGATGGGCCGAATATGAGGGTTAAATTTATCAAACCACATTCACGTTTTTTGGCAAGATAAAGACTCATGGATAAGCCCCTTTCTTTCACAGCTATGCTGAATGTAAAATCTAACTGGATAATATAATTTAATGAATATCACAAATTCTATCACTTCAAAAAGGTGATTTTTTCGTATTTCCTTATTAGGTGCGCATACCAAGATAACCGAATTAGAAAGAGTGTATGCTTGTTAATTCAACTGTACTTGGTCTAATTCTTAGGGAATAACTTCCATTCGTACCTATTTATAATCAGTACGAAATCCGTCCCGTCCGTTATTTGTAAGAGCTAGTGGTTCTAAATTTCAATTTCATAACGCGCGAAAGTATTACAGCACCTACTTCAACATTCACGATTGTTACACGATACTTCACGTATCGTTCACGATGATGACACGATACTATCATATCACGATTATTGCACTATTACACTACTACTAACTAACTACTACAATACGAAGAGATAACTAACTAAAAACTAGAGTGATTGCCATATGACCGTGAAAGAATAGGCAAACTAATAGTTAGTAGTAGACTCTAAACCAATGATTTTCTTTTGTTCTTTATCAACTATTACAAACTAAATGGTCTATTTTCTTTCACGGTCATATGGCAATCACTCTAGTGTGAGCTGCGTCGGTGTTTCTAATGAAACAGTAATGATGAAAAGGTAAATTATACACCGTGAAAAGATGAAAAAACTCACTGACGTTTCGGACGCTAGTCCTTCGTCACGTGACAGGTCACATGACCATTCAAACGAACCTGCGGCAAATGTCTTTGCCATAGCGCATTTTTTTATGTATGACATTTCTCATATGGTCGACATTATGGAAAAAATTAGATATTTTGTTTTGCCATAAAGTTTGTAGCCGACGTTTACTGTTAAGTTCTAAATGGTAAAATTTAATGAATAATTGTAAAACTACGTCATTCTGGCTACGAAAAAAAAGGGCTAATGTACGTAAGCATAAATTAATATTCATAGCATGAAAAGTTTATTTATGATAAAAATATTAAATTTTGTTTACTTACTTGTTGTTTATTGAGGTCGTGAAGAACTGATGAGCAGAAACTGTTTCATACGACAACCAAAATAATAGAGATCTAGAGTATCAAGGGGTCCTTCGGCAAAGCTGCAAGATGAGTGAAAGATTTAAAATCAGACAAAGCCAGCATTAAGTCAAAACCGGCAACTTTTCTGCTCTTAAACTAACACAGATACCTCTTTTATGAATAATTCTAATAAATAGCTTGTATAACAACAACATTTAAGACTCCAGCCTCGTGAAAATATGAGCAAACATTCAGTTTGAAGAAAACTTTGAAGCGCAATGAACAGGTGTCTATGGGATCCCTGTGGTTTACCAGTTTTCTCTGGGTTATGCATGCAACAGGAAACCCAAGCTGCCAAATACGAACAAATAACAATCATATGTTTAATGTGCCATGATATGGACACGAAAAACATGAAATTTTCTTGAATATTCATGTCTGATCTTCATGTCTAATTAAAAAGACTGGTCTTTGTTCTTCATCCAACATTTGACTTCACTCTCAAAGTTTTGTTTTCCGGTTTTTTCGCCGTTACGATGCGTCGAATAGTTTTTCTCACTTTAGGATTTGTTGTTTTAGCATCGAGCTCAAGTGAAGAAGATGTTTATTCTAATATTGAATTTCCACCAAAGTTTAAACCATCTACGGACCCAAGACAACCAGCTGGTCATCTAAAACCTTTTGGTTACCAAAGACCGCCAAATGGCCCAGTCATTGAGTACGACAAGCCGCTTCGACCAGAAAAGTTCTGGGAAGACCATGTTAGTAAAAACCTTCCTCTTGTATTTAGAGGAGGTATCTCCGAGTCACCTGCATTGACTAAGTGGACTGACTCTTATATTAAGGAAAAATATGGTGATTTAGATGTGTTAATTGAAAAGAAGAAGGAGAATCGTACTCATGGGATGACGAGCAGAATGCTTCTTGGAGATTTTATTGATCAGTACAGAAAGAAAGATATTTATGTTGTTACTGTTATGCCCGACCCCATGCGAGAAGAGGTTCAGGTATRGTATATTTTAAATAATTTTTAATGATCTTCATCAGACCTGTGTTCCTTATATTGAACGTTGAACTTCAAAGGAACTCAATGATCATATATATAAAAAATTAATTAATAAATCACTTTTATTTAAGTGTCTAGTCGTTCTAGCGCTTTCGCACTAACTGGGGACACTTTTCGCTCACACGCACTACCACTACAACTCACATGTTGATTTTTACGGAGGGAGGAAACCGGAGAACCCGGAGAAAACCCTCGTAGCATAGGAGAGAACAACACAACAAACAAATTAAATTCACATGTGGCAAATTTAGTCCTTTAACCGACTTGGCCATTTAATATCCACTACATAATAATGAGTTTCAACGCGATTTGGGGGTAGAACTGGTAGAAGAGATGCCCTCCTACTCAAGCCAAGTATACCGAGCGTTTATATGGAAAGAAGTCGGCTAGGCGAGTTAGAGTGTTAACATGGGGAAAAGTTGTCTCAGGTACCACGGTCCCCAGCCACCCTCTTTCACAAAGAGGGTAACACTACCCTACCCTCCTACACTACTCAAGCTAACTATACCGAGCGTTTACATGGAAAGAAGTCGGCTAGGTGAGTTGAAGTGTTTACATGGGCAAAAGTTGTCCCGGGTAGCAGCGTCAGCCTCTTTTGCAAAGAGGTAACCCTACCAGTAGGGTGGCCCTTTTAGCCGAAGGAAAGTAAAATATCTCATGTAAACGGTCAAGATGAAGTTACAAAGAAAATAGGGAAAAGTTAGCTATGCTAACAGGGACAAGTTTTCTCCATGTGTAGAGCGATGGTACTTTATCCATGAAATAAAAACAAAATAGTTATTAACTAATAGTCGCAATTTAGTGGATATTTAGTCTATATCACTCAAGTGAATCAATTTATACATGAATACGCAGGAGACATCAAAAACACAAGAAACATGTTATTCATTTGTTCATCAATACTTTGACTTTCAATGACTAACATGTTTCTTGTATATTCGAGACTAATAATAGACTGTATCTAAGCAACCAAACAATGTGTGTGTGGAGAAAGGGTATGCAGGGCGGGGCAGAGCAAGCAGGGGTTACAATTTTCTAAATTATGATTAAGAAAAGGTATATTGACAGATATTGTAGAGGCAGTACAGATTTTAGCAAAGAAAAAAAAGGAAAAATAATAATAAATAAATGAATTGATAAATAAATGAAATAAAGAACAGTTAAAAGAATGTAACATGAATCAAATGAAAGAATGAGAAATATTGACTTTGAACATTTAATATATTTAGGTGGTTTCAAGTCTGTTGTGCGGCACATTTGTGGACTATCTTCATGAGACAAACTTCTGGATGGGATCAGGGGGGACACGGTCTGTCATTCATTACGACGCTGATCATAACATCCATTGCATGGTGGCAGGAAGAAAAGACTTCATAATGATCAACCAAAAGTATAGAAAAGAACTAAAACTTACAAAGGTAAATATCCAGAAATATTTCAGGCATAGCAGTAGTGCACTCAGGTTTGACATGCRGGTAAAGTTTTTTGTTAGGTCTTTTCCTTAAGTTGAGCATTTTTCTCCTGATTCTCTGGCTTTTGGCCCACCATTAACCTAAAAAAGCTAAATTTAAATTTGAGTGAGTTCAAAGCCATGCCCTGACTTAAATTAGCCCAGAGATTGTTTCAGAGTTTGATCTGTGAGTTGTCTCAGGATACTTGTAGGGTAGATAATAGGGATAGATTATTTATTTATTTTGGTTAAATATTTTTTATCTTTATTTTATTTTTTGCCATTCAGTTCCCACAATTTGGTTCAGGTTTTTCAATGGTTGACCCTGATGTCATTAACCTTGACTTTTATCCTGACATGCCCAATGTTGAATGGACATATGCAACAATCAATGCAGGAGATTGCATTTTCCTCCCTTCAGGTGAGTATATCAGCACCCGGGGTCATTCATTAAAAGCAAAAATAGACTTTTTTCTGTTGTAATTATCCATGATTACAGACTAAACAACTCAGGGTTAGCCTCATTTCAGTGTCTAACTATTTCCAAATACCAACAAATGCACAACTTGAACAACACAAATGCACTTGACTTTGAAATTCCAGACCTTTACTGGACCCCATAAATATTTTTACACAAAATCAAGGCTACCCCCTGGGGGGACTCCAATTGGATAAGGGTGGGGATACTCGTCATACCTTTAAGGGTACCTCTTAGGGAGTCACAAATCTAAAACAACTACCGGAGAATAAGCTAGTACATGTTTGGGTGTTTTTGAGGCAATAAGATACCCGAGATTATATGATGACAGTCAGAATAATTGGTAGTTGTAATTCAGGATATTAAATTCAGTTCAGTATCTGACTTCTGTCACTTAGATCATAGATAAAATTGGTACCTTTAAGAGATAAAAATCATTAGTTGCAATGCCCAAGCAGACAGGACTCAGGTACCTTTTAGGAGTCATTTTCAAAATTTCTGACAAGCATCCACGCCTGGGGAGGGGGGGCTAACCCTGAGCAACAGGGTTTCTCTGCTTAAGAAGCCATGAGCTCTGGTTGGTTTTAATGTCAGCAATAACATCTGTATAGGCTGTGTAATTATTTATTACTCTGTTGTCCAATTGCAGGCTATATCCACCAAGTACGCTCATATGCACGCAGTATCTCAGCAACCATGCTCTTTACGGCATCTATCAATAATACATTTGAACCTGTAGGATGTGAGAAGGCCACCTTTGAATATACACCAATGAGTAAAGTTAAAGTACATTATACATATAAGAAGGGTGACAGGCTCATAGCAATGGGATTCATGGGGCTGGAGAAGTTCAGAAAGGTGATCATCAATTTTATGAACGAAAGAAAAATCGATAAACTAACTGCACCAGCTTTTGAAGAAATGATAGAAGAAGCATTCCCATTAGATGAACATGACAAGCAAACGTTGCAACGTAATCCACAAAAGCTGTTCAAAACCTATCTTGACCGTGAAGGGAAGGGCTACCTGACAGTGGAAGACGTCAAGAAGATACCACAAGAGGATCTGAAGATAGTGGCACTCAACAGTGAATCATCACATGGGCCAGCAGCTGGTGATCCTGATGACTATGGACTGGCTAGTAAAAAACGACAAGATGATGATAAAGAACTGGATGGTGGTGCAGGAGAAGATATGGAAGGAGAGGGAGATGGAACTGAAAGTGAAGATGAAGATAAAGAAAATGAAAATGAAGAGGAAGAAAGGGAAAGAGATGAATTATAAAACTTGTGCACAATTTGGCATGTYATGTTTGTTTTTTCCTTACGCCACTTTTAATAATGTGCTTTCTTTAGACTCCCACCTCCAGCTGCACACAAGCCTACTGAATTTGAATAATCACTGTATAAAAATGTATTCCCCCCCCCTCTTCTAGATGCATAAATATTTGTGGCCTACCCTCTATTCGCCCCCACTCCCCCTTTGAATAATGACAGGAGAAAAATACAAAATATCATTGCAGTCCCTTGATAACTCAATTTGCCATTTTATTTTATCAACACAATGCCATCTTCTGCTTCTCACATTCTAGAGATATGAACAGGAAGTGTAGATATGAATTACTAAATTTAAATAAACATAAAATAATTCATTTCTGTGAAAGAAACATGCTATGTCCCATAAATAAACCCTTAAATGTGTTCTCAAGAATATCTTTATATTAAATAAAAAGACACCCTTCAAAATTCAGTTGTTCAGCAGAAATGCTGATGTTAAATAAATCCCTAATACAAGATGCTACTATGCATTGGGATTAGCTTTCATCAAGGCTACATCAGCTTCAACCATTTCTTTCACAAGATCCTAAAAATAAAATAAAAACGACTTTTTTCATATACATTACAAAACACTATGTGAACACAAATACATAATAATTATGGTCATGCGTCTTTGTATGAGAAGGTATGAGATGGTAGGGTGTCAGTGGGTTGATGGTAGGGTGTCAGTGGGTTGATGGTAGGGTGTCAGTGGGTTGATGGTAGGGTGTCAGTGGGTTGTTGGTAAGGTGTCAGTGGATTGTTGGTAGGGTGTCAGTGGGTTGTTAGTAGGGTGTCAGTGGGTTGTTGGTAGGGTGTCAGTGGGTTATTGGTGGGTGTCAGTAGGTTGTTGGTAAGGTGTCAGTGGGTTGTTGGTAGGGTGTTAGTGGGTTGTTGGTAGGGGGTCAGTGGGTTGTTGGTAGGGTGTCAGTGG